TATTATTAACTAATTTAATTTTATTGTACTGATTTTGAAATAAATGAAATGGTAATTTAATAAAAACTTCGTTTTATATATTTAATATGTATAACAGCATTTAATGCATATTTTTATTTACATATATTATTTATTTTATCAAAGAAGAATTAATAAAAAAAGTTAATACTGAGGCTAAATAGTTTGCTTTTATTTTATTAGTTTTCTTACCGGCTACTGAAATTTTCTAGTGAAACTGAAATATGTACTTATAGTTGAATATATGTAATTTGGTTATGATTCAAAACAACAATTTTATTACGTGTGTCAAGTTATCACTATATTTTTCTAAATATAAAAAGTTAAATAAGTTTTTCTTTCCACAACAAACTTACAACAAAAAAGTTACAATTAATGCCGTATTTAACTTTTAAATGAGTTGAAATAATGCATTATATAACAGTTGTGCATGTACATAACAGTTGTGCACAAAATAAAAGGAGTCAAAATATCGCATTCCTATTATTTCGTGGACCACTCTAAATAATATCGGGTAGATATTTCCAATCAATTTATAATGTCGATACCCCAGTTATTTCAATGTCTACATGCATTCAGAGTACATAAAATGGTGAAAAATTTGTTAAGTCATTAAAAATATGTGTTTTAAATTTGTAGAAAAACATATCGTCACCTGAAACTCAAAAAGACGTAACAAAAATCATTGTTAAAATGCAAAAAGTCATAACTAATAAAAAATTCAAAATTTACTTTTTGATTTATATAATGGATTTCAACGAGTTACAACTTCCCACATCATTTTATGAAAAAAATAATGAAAATATTAGTCACGACTTTTTAAATCTCATTTACGATATTGTTACGTCTTTTTGCATTTCAGGTGACGATATGTATTTACTTATTTGGTACTTATTCAATAAGTGTCAGGGTGCCGGTAATGTTGTGGTATGATCCTTCTTTGTTATCAAACTGGTTCTTTAATTGACTTAATGCGCATTTGGCAGCTGTGCACTTCACTGATAGTTACGACCAATACCCCGGAATGAGCTAGGTTGACCCTTGCACGGCGCCCATCAGCCGTTCGTCGTCATTGAAACGCTTCAAAACGTATTGGAATCGATGTAGTAAAGCAGTAACCGCCAAGCGCCCAGTGAAGACATTCGAATTCAATGATGTATCACCCCCGCAGTTGTATGTGCTAGAAAATTTGTGTTAGCGCTATTAAAAATGCCTGACTAGGCACATAAAACTCCTCTTTGGCATGGTTGTTTTTCGTTGTGATCTTTGTGCTTTCAATGCCGGTATTTAGCCAAATATTCCATGCAATCTACGTACAAGAAATGAATAAGAGATCTAAAAAGGTACTAAACTTCCCGCTAAACACAACTCACCCTGCAAATTCCTCATCTTTGTTTCCGCTGTTTCCTCGTTAGCAAGTGACGCCAATTTGTCTGCATTGTCATGCATAATTTCTTGCAGAGATTTTAGTGCGGCCAGCGAGTCTTCACAATTTTTACTCAAGGCAGCACCATCCACCTTCTCACTGCTTCCCGTACTGGAAAGCGCACGCACATTATCAAGCAACGGAAATAGAACTTGCCAAACGAGCGTCTGTTATGTGGGCTGGTTCAACAAACGACCATGCCAAAAAGAATGCGGCAAAGAGCATTGTGAACCGCACTCGCGGCAGTAACTATGCAATTACCAACTGAAGACACATAGGTATCAGCGGCTCACTGAAATGGTGAAATATGTATACACATTCCTTTGAAAATAATACCAAACAGAACACGCAATTTTACCTATGGGGATCATTTGCCTTCCAACATTTCTCAGGCAGAGAAGCGAGTATTATGCCAACAGCATTGATGTAGGTTTGTATCTCTTTTTATGGTATCCATGAATAACCCTTCACAACAGCACCGGCACTCACAAATTCAATTGTTGTTTATTGGTTTAAAGCGAAACGCCCGGACAGTGTAAGGGCGCTGTTGGGTTGGTTGTTTTGTAATAGATTTAGGAACATTTTCAGCAATATAGGCTGTATTGATCCGGTCCGCCGGTCAATTCTTGGCACGTTTAATGGCTGCTCATTATCGGTATCATATAAATATGATGCAATGTATGCAAATGCCATTTTTTAACACAATCTTCACAATTTTCTCAATTTAACTTCACAGCAAAATTAGTAAACAACAGCTTAACAAAGAAAAACTAGATGCTGTTAGCTTAACCACAAAAATAATTGTCACCAAACAGCTGACTGCGTTTGTTAACACTAAACAATGACAAATATGGTTAAAGTTGATACACAATCACTTAACCCCAAAAAAAGTTGTTAACTAGAGATAACAACGTGAAATGTGGTTAAAATAAGATTCAGAATCGCACTACTGTTCGGTGTATTTTCCACCTAACATCAACAGCAGGATATTTGAAGCAGTGGTTAGTCGATTGTTGCTGTTTCTCGGCAAATTCACGAACGTGGTATTGTTGGGGGATTTCAATGCGGGGAATGCAAAGTGGGGGGATGATGTCAGCCACCCTAAGGGCAATGGCGAATGGTGTCAGAAATGCTAATCTGAAGCGCGTGAATAAAAGAGATAAAACTTTTATGAATGCGGGTAGTGTGAATGGTAGCTCAGGCTCAGTGCTGGATCTGGCGTTCACAAATTTAACAAATGATATTAAGTGGTGTTGTCATAGAGCGTATTTGGGTGGTAGTCATCATCTACCAATTGTAATTGAAATAGATAACATAGGTCAAAAAATAAGCTACTTAGTAATATCAAAAAGATTAATTTTACAACTATGAATAATTTTGAGGCAGGAGTTAAAAAAGCAAGGATAGAAGCAACAATTGACTTAAATAGGTACAAACACACGCCGAAAGCATGGTGGAATGATGAAATGGGAAAAATGTATAGATTTCTTGTGATAGCAAGGAAAAAAGCCAGTAAATCTAATGAGGTGCAGGATATGGAAGAAGCTGTGAGGTTAGAGGCAGAGTGGAAAAAGAAGGTAGAAGAGGTTAAAAGTAGCAGTTTCAAGAGGAAAATTGATGAAATCAACAGTAATTCGAATTCAAGAGAGGCCTGGAAATTTATTGGCAACATGAAAGGTGGAACAGAGTATTGTTGTAGCATTTGGGAGGATGAGAACAATGAGAAGTTTCTGAGCTTTCTGAAGGATCAGGTTCGACAGTTTGAGGGGGCAACTGTGGATAGGGCTCAAATGACAACTGAACAACAAAAAGTGGCGAATGTTAATGTAAATTTTTCTTTTGAAGATTTTGAGTTACTAATTAGCAAAAAAAAATTAACTGCAGCGGGTATGGATAATGTTACATATGAAATGTTAAAGAATTTGACGGTAGAGGCAAAAAAAGCGTTTGTGAAATCATTGGAGGAGCACTTCAATAAAAACATAGTAAGAAAAGAGTGGAGATATATAAGAATAGTACCTATTCCAAAAGCGGGTAGGGATCGTGAAAATATTTGCAATTATCGTCCCATCTCCCTAATTTCAGTTGTAGCCAAATGTATTAATATGCTAATTAAAGAAGAAATTATGAAATTTGTGGAGGATGGTAACATAATACCGCAAAGAAGTTTTGCATACAGGAAACAGCGTTCGGCAACAATGTGCATGAATGAAGCGCATCAATTGATAGCAGATAGGAAGTACAGGAGTGAAAAGGTATTTCTGGGGGTAATAGATCTCTCTGATGCGTACAACTGCGTGGATTTAGTTATGTTGCATAGGATACTTATGCGACATGGCATGAATCCAAAAATTGGTGATTGGATTATAAATCTTGGGTAACTGCTCTGTCGAAGTAAACAATGGATTGCCACAGGGAAGCTGTCTCTCTCCGATATTATTCAACATTTATACCGCAAAACTGCACTCTGTCTGTAATGAGAATACTCATCTTTTTCAATATGCGGATGACTGCTATAATAACGCACATCAGAAATGAGGAGGTAGCAAGTAATGAGTTTACTAATAAAATTGCGGAAATGCAAAGTTTGTGTGAATCGTTGGGTCTCAAGTTCAACTTAAATAAAACAAAATTTATGGTTATGACGATGGGTAGAAGAAAACAGTTTAATGTGAGAGTAAATGGTTGCAATGTGGAGCAAGTGGAAAAAATGAGATGGTTAGGAAGGGTAATAAGCGCTAATTCCACAATTAAAGAGCACATAGGAAATGTCAAGAAATCTATTGTGCCGGGAAAAAATTTGCTGGCAAGAATTACATCTATAAAAGCTGGGTTAACCCCGATGGTAGGATTAAAGCTGTACAAATCATTTGTTCGATCAAAAGCAGAGTACGCTTTGCACCATATTAAATGACTCTCTAAGAAGATGTTTAGGGGTTCCGCCAAACAAGCCGACTTATGCAAGATATGCAATTGCATGTGAGCTTCCACCGCAGAAAAGAGCTATATGGTTAACGTCGAGAGAAATGTCAAAGCAGTGGTTTATCAACTCGTGTTTGAAAAGGGAGGTTGAGGAAAGCTATGGTAGGAAATCGAGTTACGGGTACACATACAACAAGTTCAAATCTTACTTTGATAGGTTGAATACTAATGTTTTATTTAGCAGACACGAGAAACTGAGTTTGGTCTCCTCGATTCTAAAAGGTTCCAAAGCTAATTTTTCGAGTGAACAACTGAAGGCTTTATACTATGGGGTAGTTTAGAGGATAGAGGTTTTCACCTGTACTCGACGGATGCGTCTGTATCTGAAGGAGTGGTGGGTTGTGCGGTGCATGACATGAGGCAAGGGATTTCATTTTTATACAAGTTAGAAGAAACTTACGCATCTACCTTTGGGGAGCGGAGTGAAAGACAAAAAAATTTGCATATTCACAGATAGTTTGCAGGCTGTGAAAGCGCTAAAATGTGACCGAACTAACAACTACGTTGTAGCTGACATACATAATGAAATCGTAAGGTCGGTATTAGAGGAGGGACGCATTATTTGGGTCCCTGCGCATGTTGGGATCGGGTTCAATGAGAAGCTGCAGTGACGCATGGCTTGACGCTTAAAGTAGACCTGACACCTAGTGAGATGCTTAATGGAGTGAACAACTGTCTGTGGGATGAATGGAGAGTAAGAGTTTGAGTAACAGATGGGACGAAAGTATGGTAAACAGCATTATGAACAGGGAAAAAAGACCATGGTTCAGGGACAAAAACTAGGACTATGACGCATATGACACAAAGCTACTGAATAGACTGATAGTAGGTAAAAGGTATGGCAAAGAGTATCTCAGTAAATTCAAACCAGAAGAATCCAATTGGTGTCACAGCTGTAGCGCCATAGAAACTGCTGAGCACTTGATCTTTGAGTGCACTAAGTACGGTACAATTAGAAACGAATTTATTATTTTTAATAAGTTTAAAGAGCTTAAGGAAATTTGGGTAACAAAGAATTTATTATACTACAAGGAGGTAGTAAAATTTCTGCACAAGGCAGGTCTTGACAAAATGCTGTAAAAAAAAAAAATGACAATAATAATGAAGATTAAGTTAAAAAAATTAAAGGAAATAAGATATTTGTATTTAACTTACAGATGTTTGTATCAAACATAAATGTCCAAATAAAATACAATAAGAAACAACATACATATGTATGGGAACTGAATCATTAATTGCCCTTACCCACCATACAAAACATGAGAAATAGGCAACAATCATCAATGGCAACAAATTGTCGACGATTTATTTCCGTCCTGATAAATCGGCAACATTTGATTCTTGTTGTCATTCAAATACTGAATTATTACCAATTTGTTGCCGTGATAATAAATCGGTAACATTTGTTTGTTTGTTGTTGTTAGTTGATCACCAACAGCGAATTTTTTTCCGTTTATTTCAAAGCAAGCAGTGGAAATAAAGTAAAAACTATTCAAATTAATTAATTTGGGATCATTAATAATAAAAAAATATATATATATATTTAACTTTAAAGGGGGGAAATATAGAGGTAAGTGATTAATTTATTTCCTTTTTAAGTAATGGAATTACATCCGCTTGGGCAGATTTGTTATAATACCAAGAATAAAGTAATGATGATGAGTTCAGGTGCAGTGCGAAAAAAGAGCAAGAGAGAATCTGCCAAAGTAATACAACAAATATATGATTTGGAATATATGGAGCCAGAAGATTCCCAAAAGAAAGAGCCATGCATTGTTGAAAACATAAATTCTGACCCATCTAATGACAATGATTTATTTATTGAGAATGATAGCAACATTGAGTATTTTTATGCAAGTAGTGATGAAGATGAAAGAGGTCCAAACGACATTCCATTGGACCAAAAGCGAACTTTTCAGGGGAAATTAAAAAAGTGGGCCATACTTAATTTAGTACCTAATTCATCTATTAATGGATTGTTGGCGATCTTACGCGAAATTTATTTAGATGTTCCGAGAGACTCGAGGACTTTAAAGGGAACACCCAGCGATGCAGTAGTTATAAATATGGGAAAAGGAAAATATATACATTATGGCCTAAAAGATGCATTGACTGACTTTTTATGTTGTCATGATTTTCAAAAAAACACGATATTTTTAGACTTTAACATAGACGGTTTACCGCTCTTTAAAAGTTCTAAAAAACAATTATGGCCGATTTTATGCAACGTAGTCGACAGTAAAGAAATTCTTTTAGTTGGTGCCTATGAAGGCAACTTAAAACCCGAAAATGCATCTGAATTCATAACACCTTTCATTGAGGAATTACAAACTCTATTAAAAGAAGGAATACATTTTAAAAATACAGTTTTTGCAATAAATGTGCGATGCTTCATTATGGATGCGCCAGCAAGGTCTTTCATATTAGTAGTCAAGGGACATACTGGGTATTATTCATGTGTACGCTGTACACAAAAAGGTGAAATGGTAAGCATCGACTAGTTTTCCCACTCCACGAAAATCTGCAATTGAGGACCAATAAAACTTTCAGAGACAGAAGTAACCCGGATCATCACAAAAATATGTCTCCTTCGCCTTTAGAAGTTTTAGATGTAGACATGATCCACCAGTTTCCATTGGATTACATGCATGTGGTTTGCCTAGGGGTGACTAAAACGTTGCTTAGTGGTTGGATTAAAACAAGAGGAGAAGAATATTCGCTACCTTCGTGGAACATAAGAAAACTTTCCGAAGCTTTGGTCGCCAATCGTCCCTGTATACCAAAAGAGTTTTGCAGAAAACCTCGTAGTTTGGATGACTTGGACAGATGGAAAGCTACCGAATACAGGCAATTTCTCCTTTATACTGGACCCTTTATTTTAAGAAACATTTTGACCCATGCAAGATATGTACATTTTCTTAAGTTGTCATTGGCTATGCGAATTTTGTTGGGATCCAGAGACTGCCAAGAAAACTTAAGTTGCACACAAACTCTTTTAAAGTCGTTTGTTGAAGACGTCCCTAAGCTTTACCATTTGTCATTCTTAACATTCAATTTTCATTGCCTTCTGCATTGGCACCAAGATGCTCGAAGTTTTGGATCACTGGAAAAAATAAATGCATTCAAATTTGAAAATCATCTTCAGAAGATAAAAAAATTCATCAAAAAAGGAAGTGATGTAGCTGTTCAATTGTACAACAGACAGGTCGCGATGAGTTCAATAAGTGAAGGAACAATGCAAGAAGGAGCAACAGATGGTGTCGGTAGTGTATTCAAGTTTTTAACAACAAAGCCTGACAACTTCTGTTTGGGCAATGATACAATAACCCTTTTAATTGCAATGTACAATGCGGATGGAGTAGAATATTGTCATGGGCGTCCAATAACGAATTTAGAAAGTTACTTTGACCAACCGATTTCATCATCACTCTTTAAAATTTTTTCCTGCACAGCAATGAATTTTGCGGAAGTAATATCATTTCGATCTAATAGCATTACAAGCAAAATTATTTGTTTGCATGAAAATAATATTTTCTTTTTTGTACCATTTATTAACTAAGCAATGGAGAATGAAATTATTTACGTAACCCAAGCTGAAGGTAAGAAGGCGATGATAAGTGGTATAAAACTGGTAATCACGGTTCGAAATAGCGCCAGAGCCTTAATTTGTCATCCGATTTCATTCAAAATTAAAATCTATCCGATTCGCTTAAAACGTTTTCTTCTGGGGCTTTTTCGGGCGGCTGATTAAGAATCTGAAGTCAGATAGGAAAAATTCAAATGGACCCAATATGGCAACGAAAAAATTAAAGTCGATATTGGATCTACCATTTATCATGTAAAAAGTTAAAATCGAACGTACGTACATGGCGTAATATTGTTACTAACATGTTACTCATACGCCATGTATGTATGTTCGATTTCTACTTTTTCCATGAAAAATGGTAGATCCAATATGGTTTTGCCATTTTGAACTTTTAAAATCTGATCTCAGATTCGTAAGCTGTAGTTTTATTTTGAAAATTAAACTCCACTTTTAGACCAATGTTTGATGGTAGCAATATTTTTACATACATTGTAAAACAGATTGATTGTTTTCTTCAGACCCAGATGCATCAAACGAATTGGAAGCTCAGCAGCCAGTGTTTGTTTACACTACGTTGGAAGCAGCGCCAGTCCAAAGTAATTACAAAATTAAATAATAAATATAGATATAGATAATAAATAAGATGTATGGTATCTATACCAAATTTCGTCATTTAATTTTTTCTCTAGAATCCTTTTCAGAGCAAGGCTCAATTAATTTAATATTATCCGAAGTTAAATCCCTAAGAAGAGTTATTACCCATTTATCTGAAGAGGTTGTGTCTTTAAGAAATGAGGTTCGTCAAATGAAGAACACCCAGCCCGGCACTTCAGAATTTTCGCATCTTCCTGTTATGCCTTTTAATGAGAAAGACGCTTTGACAATTTTATGAAAGAACTAGTGGATAAGGAACCGATCTTAAATGAATTTGTAAGTAAAAAACGCATATTGGGCCGTATGAATAAAAACTAAGCAATTGCTTTTTCTTAAAATTTCATACCTTTTACTTCAATTTTGTTTGAATAAATTGAGTAAAAGATCTGAAATTTTAAGAAAAAGCAATTGCTTATTTTTATTCATACGGCCCATTATGCGTGTTATTTTTTAAAGTGGTATACATAAGTCCATTTTTTCATATGTTGAGATATTTTGGGCTTTGCATCTGATTTAAAAATATTGGCAAAAAATTAACCAATGCCTGTTAAATTTAATTATGCAATAATAATTATTGAAATTGTTAAAGAAAATAAAAGATTTTTTAGCTCCGAATGGACTTATGCCACTGAAATTGAATAATCTAGTTTATTAAGAAATAGTTTCAATAATTTTAAGTCCTTTTTTTGTAAGTATAAGTCCACTTTTGAAAAAAAATAGTTAATGGAATAACAACTTCCCATTGCATTTCAAGTGACGATGTGTAGTATAGCTAAGTTTCTTCCGATTACTTTATCAAGAAATCGTGCTTCGATAAATGTATGATTACAAACATAAAAAGGGGGTTTCTGTATCTTACTTAAATTACCATTAACTATTTTTTTCCAAAATTGGACTTATGCAACTTTCAAAAAAAGGCTCATATGCATATGTATGTGTGGTCTAAATTATTTTTTTACATAAAATATATTTATTACGCCTTGGTGGACCCGATGTTGCCACTTTTCTACGATCTGCCATGAAGGCTATATTAACGGACAACTTGGCACAAAAATTCTCATGGAAGGGTACAAAGGAGAAACCGGCACTCACTGCTAATTTCGCGGTGACAGTCATAAAAGGTATATGAAGTCTAGTAGCCCAGATCATTCAGTCCTTAATCATTTCTTTCATGTCATTTTAGGAATATGTTACAAAAAATTCCCAAACTCTGACGACTTTTACATAAACAGTATTATCCAGAAGCATCTGATTCATGCCAAGGACAGGATTGAAAAGAATAGGAAGCGCCATAGCGTAGTAAATAATTAATTTCGTTATAAATTGTAATTTTCTATCAAAAAAACTAATAAAATACTAAAAATTAAATTTTTGCAAGTAATTATTCCCCAGATATCGCCTGGAAGATAATTTAGCAAGTCGCCTGTAGTAATAATAAGCGATATGAAAGCGACTCATTCAGGTAATAAGAAAACGACTCGACCAGGCGCGTTACCTTCGGCGGACGTTTTAGAGCGACTGCCCATAAGAAATCGATACAATGGCGATATTGCCGGCGATAAATTTGTTGCCGGTGGCGACTCGTTTTCTTATTGCCAACAACAAAACTTGGTTGGTGGGAAACGAAAGGAAAGCGACTCATTCGGGTAATAAGAATGCGACTCGATTAGGCGAGTTGCCTTCGGCGGACGTTTTAGAGCGACTGGGAATAGGAAATCGATACGATGGTAATATTACCGGCAATAAATTTGTTTCCGCGGGCGAGACGTTTTCTTATTGCCGGCAACAAAAATTGTTTGGTGGGTAGGTTAAGAAAACAAGGTTAAAAAAATCACAAAAATCAAAAAAAAATATATATATAGATACATATGCAAAAAGCCTTGAAGGCAGAGAGGTTGTAAAGTTTCTGCTCAGAGCAGGCTATCACAAATTGTCCTTGTAAATATCAACATAGTCCAATATGTATATGTATAAATTGCGAAAGCTATAGATGTTTATTAAAAAAAAAAAAAAAAAAAAAAATTTGTGTGGGAAAAAAAGGAAAAAATAAGTTCCAAATGAATGTCAAAGAAAATGTATTGAGTTCAATTACACAAAAATACAACACTGCAAATGTCATAGGCCACATGAACGAAAGACACAAGATCACGTAAGAACAAGAGAGTGAAAAAAGTCGATTTTTTTTAGCGGGTTCTACGTCATCTTGTTTCACTGGAAAACGGGCGAAAAGTAAACAAAGCAAAGAAAACAACGAAAACCAAAATTAGCCAAAATTATTGTCAGCCACTTAAGCGCACAATTTAGGTAAAATGATGCAATAAAATGCTTGAAAATGTGTTGTCATGTTGAATTAACTCTTCTTTACTTAAATAAAAGTGTAAAATAGTGGTGCTTGTGATGTAAACAAACGCTCAGCTGACGAACCCGCTTTCGCAAACTTTTTTCTCAAAACCAGTTACAAATACAACGTCTATCCCCTTTTGTCTATTCTCTTTCTAACAGCGGACGTGCCTGCCAAACAGCGGACTTGCCTGCCAAACTGAAAAGCATGATGGCGGCAGTGTTTGACAGACACGTTCGATGATGCGAACGGCAATGGAAGGTAAGAAATGGAAGATGGATGACATGAGAATGAAAGAATTATGAAATAGCAGAATGTCGAACCAAAACGAATTTCAAGAATCTGACCATGCGAATGACGTCAAAATGAAAGAAATGCAAAATACCGAAATGTCGAAACAGAAGAAATAGATGACAGACACGTGTTCAAGGGTTACGTGCAACGAAAAGAGTTGTTGTGTTGCGCCATTCAATATTAAAAAAAAGTAATGTGGTTAAATACGCTTTTCTATTAAGTTGAAAAATTACATATTTCGCCAGCCAAAAAGTGTATAAATAAATATATAGCATATTGCTATAAGATTTATTTATAAAAACGGTACATGATTATGACCTTATTCATAAAAAAGAAAATAAATGTAAAGTAACATTAAAAAAATCGATTTGTTTACTTTTTAAGAATTTGGGAAAAACATTTAACTAAAGTTTTTGTGCACCCATCTCTTTTTCTGTTTATGATTTTCAAATTTTTCTTTTCCTTAATACTCATTGAGTTTTCATTTACACCCAGCAAAAATCAAAATATTTTATAAGAAATTTGGTTGACCGTTTCTCGCACACTTCTCTCATGCTTTTTTATCGTAGTTATTATTCTGTTGACATCTAAATTGCCATAAATTTTATGTTGTTGCCAATACATTGTTTTCCGGCGCTTCCTCTGTGAACATTTATAGCTACATTCATAAAAACATTACTAATTTTGGTTTATAATTTTTTTCCATCTTGTTATTGCTGAATATCAAAATGGAATTAATAAATAATAAAAAGTTAGTTACAATTTTAGTGAATGGTTCTTGCAAATAATATTATTTTATGGTTGAAATGACTTGATCGCCGTCAGGAGCTTATCAACTTTTTTGCCAAAACCAAAGCACACGGGAAGGAAAATAGTTGTTCATTAACGATTTGTCTGAAATATCGTTCTGGAAACACGTTACTGCTCACTAAATTTGTAAAAATCAAATTTTTTCACTTAATTGTTATATTCTTCCTCATTGTGGTAAAGTTACTCATCATCACAGCAGGGCGCAATCTTCTTTTCTATGATTATTGTATCGCTACTTTGAATTTCTCAATTTTGACAATTCTGATCTAAAAGTAAACGAAACCTCAGAAACTTTAAATGCACTGAAATTCACTAATACCCACTTCCGCAAAAATCACCTTATTTCGTATTTCCTTTGTTAAAAGTTATTGTAAATCATATATTTTTATTGCCTTATTAATAAAAAATAAAAATTTTAAAAAGCTTTTTAAATTGCCGTTCACAAACATTTTTCAATTTATAAGCCTTTTTTAAGCTACTTTGTTGTTTATGAATAAGGCTATTACAAATTAGCACAATCAAAACACGTTCCTTATCGAAAAATTTATTATTAAGAAAATTTGCTGTTCTCACATTTTCTTTCAACATCCAAATCGACTTTTGTTACTTTTTGTACAGATATGTCATCGCCGCCAGGACGGCGCAACTCCTACTATATCTTTCTTGTCAAATATCCATTTAGATCTAACTGTCATACTACTATTAATGGTAACCATGAATATTCATTAAAATCGTTTCAATTCGTAATAAAAGTAATTTACATACTGCTAGTGTAAATATATTTTTTAATATAAACTACCTTTCTTAATTCTAAAATAAATCAACAATCTCAAGATTTATAAGAAAATTGTCTTCAAAAAATACGTCCCAAATCATCCCTGTTGATATCATAATTCAAATGCAAATTAGAATAGAAATTTTGATACAAAAGTTTTTCCGCGATATTCATCATACAAATTTATCATCTTACTTGTCCGTATGTCGCTCTGGAAAGAAATATATTTTAACCGATATGTTTTCTTGAAAATAAAAGCAAATTTACCTATTTTTTCCACCGGCAGGCACGAATATGATATTCAAAACAGAAGCAATGACAACGAATTATATACACATTGTTGTATTTTAGCGCAAAACGATAAGTTTCACAAATATTTTAAATTATTGCCTGGAACATACACATTTATCGTTATTATTGGAAATGCAAGACTTGGCACGCATTTTTAATTTCTTTTTTATTGAATTCAAATGAATAAAAACCCATTTTTCTAAAATATTTCTCAATTTACATTTTAAAGTTTTTTCTGAAACTTGAATGTAACTCTGTGCGGAGAATGAGAGAATTGAAAATCAGGTGATCTCAGCTGTTTTCAAATGTAAACAAACAAAATGGCGCTTTCCATACTTGTAAGCCTATACAATGGTATTAGGTCGGTGTTATGCAGACAAACTTTTGTTTGCCAAATTAAATGGCGGCTGCTTAGACTGCGTTTATACACGAAAACTTTTGTCGCCCCGATTTTTCACATTCCCTTTTGGTGTTGCTCGTTTCATTTACACACGGCGATTTGTGTGTATGCAATTGTTGTTGTCAGCTGTGAACAGCGGTTCAATTTACCAGACGAACGAGAGCACAAAGCGTGTTGCCCGAGCACGAGCAACTCGGTGCCAATCTCCTTTCCTCGTCGCGCTCTCTCCTACAAACATCGAGTTGCGGCAACAAAAATCGCCGTGTGTAAATGAGCACTTAGTTTGCTCGGAGGTGGTTATGTCGAGTTTGGCACAGGGTTGCACGTTCATTATGGTTTTCATGGCTATTGCCAACACGAAATGAGAATTTCAGATGTACATAACAGTAGCTACACACGACGAGCAAATCAAAAAAATTTTGATTTTCAGCGAGCATGCTCGTCGTTTGTAGCGTGGTTTGCGAGCATCGCATTGGAAACAAAAACAACAACCTCACTTTGTGTTGATGCTTGCAGTGTGCACATCGCGGATAAATGCATCCAAGCCATGTGCGTTAATTGAATTTTTGATAAATGAGGCTAAATTACTATATGTATATGTATGTACATACATATAAGTAAAATATAAATAAATTTAAGTAACACATACATAAAAACCCTAAGTCATAAGTATTTCAATTGCATCATCCGCGTCTTTCCTTTCCATGTTTACGCTTTGAGTACAAAATCAGTTATGAGCCGCTCGCCGTCTGTAGCAAACGACAGCGAGCATGTTGGCGCACATGTGCGCGGATATGCTTGTCGTGTGTAGCTACTGTAACCAGCGTTGCCATTTTAGCCGTTTTCCGGCTAGATTTAGCCGGTTTTGATAGCAACTAGCCGGAGAAAATTCGATCTAGCCGGCAGCCGATTTGTTAGCCGGTTTGTAAAAAAAAGTTAGCCGTTTTTAGCCGATTTTACTATTTGCCTAATTTTCAGGTGCAAAAAGTAAACAAGTTGTTCGAAAGCAATAATGCAGACCCAATGAAGATTTTTAATGAACTCAATGTTTTACTTTCGGATCTATGCTCCCTAGTGGTTATTAGCGCGGACACATTTGATCCTATATGCTCTCCGTTGGAACCATACCTTGTTCCATTTCCTCAGAGTATTTAAAAAGAAAAGCACAAACGCTTTTGACCACGAAGCCGAGAAAATAATTCGAGAAAATGGTCGCTATTTTATTATCTCTTTAATAAAGGAATTACGCCAACGCCTCCCTACAAATATTGCCACACTAAAAAAAATTGACTTTTTTCGGTTCGAAATGCATTAAGAGTAATTAAACCAAAAGTATTTGTTCAACTACAGCAACAAAAACACAAATATAATGCCGACGAAATAACATCCATAGAGATGCAATGGCGACGGTTAACGTTACATACCTGGAGTAATTTAGACTCAACTGTAAAATTTTGGGCCGAAGTTTACCAATTTCGAAATGCCCTAGGAGAAAACCCTTTTACTGACCTTTGCAACCTAGTTTTTAGTTTTCTTGTTTTGCCTATAAGTAATGCAGAAGTAGAGCGAATATTTAGTTCAATGAATATAATAAAAACTAAGCAAAGAAATCCAATGTGCGTTAAAACGTTAAACGCTATTTTATATATAAGATGCGGTTTAAAACGTGAAGAAAAATGCTGCCATAATTTTACTGTAGATGACGATCTCTTAAAATTAATGAATTCAGGTGATATATACAATAGTGATTCATTTGATGATGAGGAATATACACTCGATATAAATTAATGGTGTTAACTAGTCTTTCGTTTCTTGCGATTTATTTAAATAAAGCATGTGGATTTTCACTAAAACATTTTAGCCGTTTTTTGCCAGAGTCTATGTGAAATTTCACTAAAACATTTTAGCCGTTTTTAGCCGCTTTTTTTTGCCAATCTAGCCGGTCGGCCCAAAAAGTTCTGGCAACACTGACTGTAACGCGCAAAATTTAAAATTTTTGTATATGACAACACCGAATTTGCTGCAGTTTTACCAAACAAAATTAGTTTGCTGTGAGAGTCGCCAAACTCGCTCTCTCCGAGTTTGCTGCAACAACAATTGCACGCAGTTTGCCAAACAAAATTTCTGCATAACACCGACCTTACTGCAAGGCTGCATTCATGATTCAATAATACAAGGTCATGATTCAATAATACAAGGTTCGATAAACTGACAGTTGTCTCTCTCGCACCGCTCCCTTAGCAGTGGCACAGTGTTGCTTCTTTGCAAATTTACATGGAAACAGTGTAGCTTTGGTGTGAAATAGAAGTATAAGCTTTTGTGCAATATGTTTATTTGTGTATGCATATGAAGCATATTTAACTGATGAAAACATAAACTGTTTTTAAATTGGATGTTTACATCAATCTCATAGTAGTCTTATCTTAATTTTGAGTCATTTTGCAGTTTTTATACAGCTAAATAGCACATAAATTGCGTATATCAATATTACGTTCAACATTTCGTTTAAAATTACAGGTTTCCTGCAAATACATTAGAATTTACAAAAGGAATTTGAGTACTAATTGCCTACTTTGCGTACTTTTCTACTACCATTTTCGCAACAAGAGATTTCATTATTCCCCTTTCTCCGTCCTTCGTAAATGCAACCTTTTGTAAGGGAGTGTCAAACCGCAGCTGTCAATAATTATCTAATCTTGTATTATTGAATCATGGGTGGGCTTTAGTAGTCAGCCGCACCTTTTGTTTTAAGAAAACCAGGTGGAATTAACAAATGAAACTTGGTCAGGAAGTTAAGGGAGGTATCCTCTAAAACATGTATAACTAAAAAATATAAATAATATCATTGTTTATAAGTTATTTGTTGTTAAAATTTCTTAAGTCGTTCCACTTGGTTTCCTTAACAAAAAAGCATTTGTGCTTACTTTTATATATATAAATGCACATAACACTGTACTTAATACTTTACACACTTTTCTTTTAGTTTATCTTGTATATAAATCACTTTAATTAAACTTTTATCGACTTGTAAATTACATTGAATTTCACGCATATTTACAATAACACATGGTTGCAAACTGACACATAACATGTGTTGCCATATTGTACAAAACAATACATACAAAGAAGGCAATGATTAAAAAGGAATACAGGGGAAATCAATACAAAAGAAAATGTTCAGCTCCTTTTCTTCGCAAAACAGAAAGGAGAATTCTATTGCCTGAGGGTTATAATCCCTAAGTGCGGCCGAAGGCAGCCTACGCAGAAAGGTGTTCTCTGCAAAAGGTGTTCAGCTCCTTTTCTTCGCAAAACACAAAGGAGAATTCTACTGCCTGAGGGTTATAATCCCTAAGTGCGGCCGAAGGCCGCCTACGCAGAAAGGTGTTCTCTGCAAAAGGTGTTCAGCTCCTTTTCTTCGCAAAACAGAAAGGAGAATTCTACTGCCTGAGGGTTATAATCTCTAAGTGCGGCCGAAGGCCGCCTACGCAGAAAGGTGTTCAGCTCCTTTTCTTCGCAAAACAGAAAGGAGAATTCTACTGTCTGAGGGTTATAATCCCTAAGTGCGGCCGAAGGCCGTCTACGCAGAAAGCTGTTCCCTGCAAAAGATGTTCAGCTCCTTTTCTTCGCAAAACAGAAAGGAGAATTCTACTGCCTGAGGGTTAT